GTTCGAAAGAAAAATTACCTCAATTAGGGAAGGGGGAAAGCTCTGATAGAGACGAAGTGAGGTAGACGAAGAAGAAACGACGGAGATGAACTTGAGGGAGAGACCGGGATGAAGACTGGGATGGACAACGAGATAGTGAATGAGGGAGGGGAAGGACCGAGACAGGGAGGGAAAGGAGGGGAGGGCTGGGTTTGATTTCTTTTTTTAAATTGAGGGTAACTTGGTAATTTTACAAAGCAAAATAAGGGGAGGGGTCAGAAATCTGAGGTGGAGGGGGTCATAAATAGGTAAAAATCAAAAGGGGGTCAAAAGTCCAAAGTAGTTATTGGAATGAGTCAGAAATCTCAATTTCCCAATATTTTTAAGGTTAAATTTATTGGGGGTTAATTTTAGTGACTTTTGAAATATCTGATCTTATGCTTTGAACTTATAGTTTAGGTTAAAATATTCTTTTGATCAACGTATTGTTTGTGTACAAGAATGTCCGTCTAAACAATCAGGCTTATCTCTTTTCTAGTTAGGTGACTTGCAAAACAAAGATGAATATTCTGATGCCTAAGTTAGTAATGATGGGAGAATGTGTGTAGACTGTTCAAAAGGGATTTGAATATACCTTGGTAACAAATTACTTATCCCTCTCATAAGTGATCGAAGGCCGAGATTCTCTCCGCCAATTTCGATCGGGGCCAGATTATTGATCGGTGCTGTAGACACCATATTTGGTCCGACTCATTTTTAATTTTATTAAGTTTAATTTTTAATTTTTTTTGAATAATCATAACATAAATTTTAATATAATTGCTTTAGTTAAAAATAACATAAAATTTTAGTGTAAAGTTTTAATTAAATTAAATATTAGAAGTAGATTATGTTTTAAAAAATGTTTATTATTATTATTATTTTATTATTACTTATTAAGTTTTATTTTAATTCTTTTGATTTAAAATATCATAAGTTTACTTTATTATTAGTTTTAATATAAAATTTAATTAAATTTAAAATTAGATTTGTTTAAAGAATTTTGTTTTATTGATAAAATTAAGAATTAAAAACAGTAAAGATTTATTTCAAATTGATTTTAATGGTTTTGATTTTTTTTCTCGTCAAACTCTAATTACGTATCATTTTTATCTATTCTCACTTCCCTATTTTTTCTCTAGTTTTATTTTACTCACCCCACATTACCGTTGCCTTCCATGGTATTTAAGAGGAGGTTTTGCACAGAGGGAGGGACAGATTAGAAAGGCACAAAAAACAGAGGGAGTAAAAATAGAGAGAATACGTGTGAAAGCAGAGTTTTTTTTTTTCTCTTCGTTTCTCCACTTCATCTCATTTTCTCTCTAGAAATCAACCACCACCACCCTAATTTGTCGTCCTCCATTTCACTCTCAATCTCCCTCCACCTCGGCGATTAAATCTACGTTTTCCCTTAAGTAAGGTGAGTTAAATGGTGTTTGTGTGTTTATATTTAATTGTGATTTTTGTCGCTTTTTTTTTCTTCATTTTTTCCATTATTTGAGATTATTTTTCACTGTTTTTCATTGCTGAAAGTTGAAGGTTTTTGGAAGGTTTCACGTTGTTTTATTGCTGATTTTGAAGTGTTTATGAGTTGTATTTCTTTAAATATTAAAGATTTTTAAGTTGATTTATGGACGGTTTTGTTTTGGAATTTAGTAGATCTTTGAAGAGTTTAGAAGCTTTTGCTTTTGAAAAATTGTAGTCGATTTTGAGATATTTTTTTTCTGAAAATTGGTTATTCTTTCTTTTAATTAAAAATTTGTAGATTTTGAACTTTTTTTTTATTATTTATTTTTTGGATTTTCAAATTTGATAATCAAAATAAATGGTTGTTTTTTATTACCAATTAAAGTTTTAAAAAGAAAATAAGTCTTCTAAATTAAGTTTTTAAAATAAGTTTTAGAGTTTCTTTTTTTCTTACAGTAAAATGTGTTTAAAATAAAGTACCGAAAGTTTTTATTTTAAGTAAATAAAAAAAGTTTAATTTTAAAATTAAAGCATTGGTTTGTTTTTAAATAAGTTTCTTTAAAAACGAATAAAAGATTTGTCAAATCAGTTTCTTAATAAAATGAGCAAGATTTTTTAAATAAGTTTGGTTATAGACATAATTTTTTTTTAAATAAAAAATTTAAAACGAATTTTAAACTCAAAATAAATTAAAGGTTTATTTTTTTCCCTTTTTAATAAAGGATCCCGTTTACCTTTTTTATTTAAACAAAGTTTACGTATAAAGTTTTGTTGTTCAAAAAGAAATTTAAGTACATATCCTAGGGTATGGCTTAGTGGCAAAAGCTTTTGGTATTGACACTCATTATACAAGTAGTACTTCAAAATGTTTTTTTTTCTTTATTTTATTTTATATTTTTATCATTGTTTTTACTAAATAATTATTTTAAATAAAAGATTTCGTTTAGAGTTTTTTTTTAAACA